CATTGGGAATTCAATATGAAGATGACACTTGCGAGGAAGGGCCTGCTAGAGCACATCTTGGAAGTGAAGTCGGAGCAGGAGATGACGGAGGATTGGAAGGTCAAGGACATGAAGGCGTTTGCTATTATTGCTCAAGGGATCGAAGTAAAGCATCAGACGAAGATCCGACATGCTCGCACTGCGAAGGAAGCATGGGAAACACTACGCGACTACTACAACAAGACAAACCTTCAGAATCGAGTGGCACTGACACGTCGATTGCACGAATTTCGTATGGATGAGGGAGGCGACATGGTGAGCCACCTCGACCGTTTCGATGAACTTGTTTTGAGTATGGAGGCGGTGGGCGATACCATGGACGACGCACGCCAGATGACAGTTCTGCTGAGTAGCTTACCGGCAGAGTACGAGATGATTGTGTCCATCATTGAGAATTCCATGGGTGTGACGATGGTGGATGTGAAAGAAAAGCTGTTGAAGGAACACAAGAAGAAGCAGCAGCAAGAGGTCTCCGAAGGAGCTTTCCGCGTTGGTCGTGGAGGCCATAAACAGGATCGTGGTCGTGGAATGCGCAAACAACGTGGTGCAGAAGAGAGCTGGAAGAAGAAACAGCCGTTTCGTGGGAAGTGTCACCGCTGTAACAAGATCGGACACAAGCAGTTTGAGTGCCGATCTGCCACCAAGAATGATGGAAATGAAATGGCATTCACGGCCACAAACGGATTAAAAAAAGGATGGTTGTTGGACAGCGGCGCCTCGTCACATATGACCCCAGCCGAAGAAGATTTCTTTGAGTACGAGAAATTGAGAGAAGCCATTCAAGTTCGCGTTGCCGATGGTGCGGTCATGAATGCAATTGGACGAGGAAGCATTCGATTTCGCTGTACGAATGGTACAGCAGTGACTGTGAATGAAGTATTGCACATTCCAACGCTGGACAGACGACTACTAGCGGTGCCCAAGATCGTCCAGCGTGGGTACAACGTTCGATTCAGTGAAAAATACTGCGGTATCTACAAGGATAATGTGTTGATGATTTCTGCGAAGCGCATGAGAAGCGTGTACACTCTTGATGTGGAGTATGAGCACGCGATGTTGGTAGAACATGGAGATCAACCAAGTAACTTGCAACAAGATGGTGATGAAGATGTTGAAATGGAAGAGCACGAAATTGTCGAAGATGTGGAGATGGAAGTACCGAGTTCTGACAATGACATCAGTAACACACCTTCGAGTGAGACAAGCAATCATTATCTTGCAAGAAATATGAACAACGAACAACATCAACACACTTCCCAAGTAATTCAACAAGGACCTCGTCACAAAGAACTCGAATTACACAATCCGCACGACTCTGGAGCGATGGTGTTCCGTCCACAACTTAAGCGTCGTTCCGGTCGCGAGCATCAGTATCGTGTTCTTACTGACGATGCCAGTGGGAGAAGTGGATCCGGACCACGAGGAGGTGTTGATGAAATGCTACCAATTGAGCAACCTGTTCAGCTCTTGTTGGAAGACAATAACACTAGTACCACAACAGAAAACAGCATTGTGCCATACAATGAAAACCATGAAGCCAGTGGGAGTGAAGATGACGAACCTCCTTCCAAGCGATCGCGAATAAACAGCGATGTGGCATTGATAGCAGAAGTTGCCATGATAGCTCGTGATTTACCTGGCTCTTATGCGGAGGCAGTGAATGGACCTGACAGATACCAATGGATTAAAGCTATTGAGAATGAATTTGCGGCTCATGAGCGTAACAAGACGTGGACACCAATTGTACGCAAGCCTGGAATAAGACGATTCACAATGCATTACTGGAGATGGGATTTGCTGCGTGCGGTGCTGATCGATGCATATACAAGATAAAGGATGGTGAAGGCTGGGCGTACGTGTGCTTATACGTTGATGATATGATTGTAGCTGCAAAAGAAGCAACCACGGTACGCAAGGTGAAAGAACAAATCTCTCAGCGGTTTCAAACCAAAGACCTTGGTCCAGTGAAGCACTTGCTTGGAATGGAAGTTATGTACTACCAAAAGAAGCGTGAGATGTTTATTTCGCAACAAAGATACATCGAGGAGACTGCAGACATGTTTGGACAGACTCAAGCCCGACCAACTGGTAACCCATGTGATCAGAGCATGAAACTGTCCAGCGCAAACAGTCCAAAGTCCGATGTCGAAAGACAAGCCATGAGTCGTGCACCGTACCGCCAATTGCTGGGACGACTGCTGTTTATAGTGACCACGACCAGACCAGACGCAGCATTTCATGTGAGCCAACTTGGACGATTTGCAGAAAACCCTGGCTCACAACACTGGAAGGCACTGATCAAAGTGCTAAGATACCTCCGCTCGACGAGTGGTTTTGGATTACACTACAGTGTTGACAAACTACAGCAACAACTAACAGCGTATAGTGACGCCGATTGGGGAAACAGCTTGGACGACCGTCGATCGGTATCTGGTGTTTTGCTGGTGCTTAATGGAGGCCCTGTTATATTTAAGTCTAAGTACCAACGCACCGTTGCATTGAGTACTTCTGAGGCTGAATACATGGCGCTAAGCATGTGCACTCAAGACATACTATGGGCAAGGATGTTAATGGCTGACCTCGGATTCGAGCAGAAGAATCCTACTGTCATCTACGAGGATAATCAAGGAGCCATTGCTCTCGCAACAAACCCAGGATACCATGCGCGGACTAAACACGTAGACATACGTCACCACTTTGTCCGAGAGAAAGTTCTGGCCGGTGATATAAAGGTGATCTACAAGGAGACGGAACATCAACTTGCCGACATACTAACGAAGGCACTCGGCACCAAGCGATTCCAGTACCTCCGTGCCGGAATGGACATCAAGGTACGTGATGGACCCGAGCATCAACAGTGAGTGGGAGTGTTGATGGGTGCACTGTCAATGCACGGTCAACAAAGCCAACTGTGATTTGCTACGCACAAGTGGCAAGACAGCGATGATACGACAGGGTGTAAACGGTTCACGTGCAGTCTGATGATTCTAGAACTACCTTGAGTGTATGTTCTAGAATCCATCAAGATCAGGGAAAGCTACAAGGTAGAAGAAGATAACACGACGAGTAAGTTCATAGGAAAACTTATTCAATACACTTTCCAATTTTCCTTCGACATAACAGATACCATCTGCTGATTCATTAAAATCTATGCTTGGCATTGTGGCGCGATTAATGATATTGTGATTGCTTCTATTTCTATAAACTAGTGACTAGTTGAGAAGATATAAATTACAATTGGAGAACCGACCACTCATCACACTGCAATGATATTTGGGCTATTTCATGCAAACATCGCTACCGTCGATTTGAACACTAGGAATTTATCAACGCATAACATCTCATTTGCGATAATTGAGCCTAAAAAGCCTTATATATTCGAAAAGTCGTACATCATTTTGAAATATTTGTAAGTGCGTCCTACGGCCTATGGCAGCCGACCACAAAGCTGATCCATTACATATGCTACAAGGAACATGTACATAGGAGGATTTCGCACGTTGCATGGTATTGTAAACGAATGTGGTTACAGAACAAAGCCGAGTATGAAGTAATTTTAGTCTCCCCGTCTTATCTTCTTCCGCATGATTATCAGCGCGGCCACCATACAAGTAACCATGTCATCGCTGACTGCATGAATAATGATCGACTACGTCGAGATATCTTTGCCTTGAGATACTAGTCGCGTCTCATTGGTGTACATGCCTGTATCAAATTCTCATCCCATTTAGATATCAATCAACGTAACCCTCTGAAAATGACCAGAAATCGTTGTTACACACTTTCTGTCTCAATGTCTGCCTTTTATTCATACATTATACAGCAATTTGAGCACCACATGTCTCCCTTCTCATCGATTGAAATAGTGGCGATGTCTTAGGAATATGTGATGCCGAGTAATGCCAGCCCGTTTACGCGTGACTTGATGTTCATGTCCGCACATTACCGTTCACGCAAAAAGCTGCTCACTGTTTACGTTCTCGACAATTGCCAGCAATGCAAGAAGTACTATTTGAATACGTGTTGGGACAAAGCGACTGTTTACATTAACATCCAACCTCATTCAGCGAAGCAAAATTACGTATTTACTCGGGCAGTCATAATCTTGCTTGATAGCTGTATACAGTATTAAATTCTTCCACTGATCTATTCGAACGATCATGGAATAATAGACATACAGGCGTTTACGAACAACACGATCTGGCTGAACCGAATGCAGCACAGTATCCCTCCACTGCAAGCATAGTGACGCATTCATTAGTGGTTGTACCAGTGTTATGACGAGGCTTTCGGACACAGAGTCGATATTCTTCAGCTGAAAGCTGTTGTATGATCGTTACAAACACAGCTGGTCGTTTGGACACTGCAACAGGATTCTAGTCGAACGACATCCCCATGTGTTTTCCACACCAAGCGCACACACAATTCTACCGACAAAGTCCGACGTGCGAGCTGCCACAATATGTGCTATGCTGGCGCGGTTAAAACCTGCGACGTGTTGCGTTCACCTCGATGAAGTCATGTGTAGGACGATCAAAATGCAGAAAAGTAGTCGCGTCTCGCATTGACATACTCCAAATTTATGTTTGTCTGAGTTGCAGAATGAGATAAATAGTGGTGGCAAAACTAGAGACGTGAAGTAAGGTGCATTTCGTAAACAAGCTAATGCTCTATATGTTAAGCTAACAATGCGCTTTTCCACCCGCATGACGACTTTTTGCAGTTTGTTCGACATATCGCAGACAATTTTTTGACAAAGAAACATATTTGGAACGAAGTGTCTCATCTAGCCTTGAAGGATTCGGCAGTTGGCATTTTAAAAACCATCTAGAAGCAATATTCGAGAAATTGACGTGCGCGTCATCGGCGACGCTGCGATGAGACGGGACGTGGATGGCATTGAAGGCTGACTGCACTGAAGTCTGCAGCATTTGAGAACGTGCTCGCTGAGCAACACCAAGATGAAGGCCACGTTTGCTCGTATGCAGAAGGTTTATCGGAAGTCCGCTGTTGTGGAGCAACCGAAGGTGCCAGTGCCAGTGCCGACGGGACCGAGAGACAAGCGGAGCTTTTTCTGGGCTCCTTCGCACGATATCGAGATCTATCCGTTGGTGCTCTGTGTAGCTATTGGCATGACGATTGCTGTTTTTAGCGGTGTTCGCCACTTGACGCTCAATCCCGATATCAATTTGAGCCGTGACCGACGTGAGACACCAGCATGGGAGCGCTATAAGCCGGAGGAGGGAAAGAAGTTCTCGCGGAACCGCCACCATTTTGCCAACCTCAAGCCAAACCCCGTTAACCAGTTTCCAGAGGCTGCAACACTCCAGGAAAAGACCGATGAGCCTTTTTCGGAGCATCTATGAACAAGACGATGGGTGACATCAATCTACAGAAGCGAGTCGTGTCGAGACGAAGAATAATCTATATGTCTACTTCCGGTTGGCCTTTGTTTCGCACAATTTACGCAATACGTTTCAATGTCATATGCCTCGACCTGACTCATGAGTAAGACACGACAGCAAGCTCTAGTCTAATGCCATTCTCAGTCCATCGGGCTCGGTCAAGCTTGAATATTTACGTACCCATCTTGCATGTTTCGAGGCAGGTTGGATGATGGAGGGTCGTGCGTTGAGATGTGTAGTTATCGAAGTGCTGCCGTGATTGTCGCGTGATGATGCACTTCGTTGTACCATAGTTGTTGCTGTTGAAATGCTCAAACGCAGGAAGGTAAATACGGACTACGACTGATCTTTGTTGTGCAACATACCAACCCTTCGCCGTCTATCCTGAACCATCCGAATGGAACGTAAACATAAAATTCTAGACACAGTTCTATGGACCGTGGACTGGATAAAGTGGATTATAGCGCGAGTTCATAGTTGGATCTTCCATCCTGATGTATGTCATCCTGCAAAATCACTGGCAGATGTGTAATGTAGCGATCCGGCTGAGCTTTATCGTTGCGCTTACATGTGGAAAAAAGTACTAACGGAAGTGAGTTCGCAACAACACGTGAATATAAGTCCGTCATAGCGCACACGATGAAGACATGCCGGTGACGTTGTCAACAGCAATGTGCTACTACAGCTTTATTCTGGAGAATCCAGAAGAAGCTGCTGATCTTAGTCACAGCGTGACCGGCCCTTGTTGCCGGCTGGTCCACACATGCATACTGTAAGGCCCGTCGCGGGCAATTATCACGCAAATGTCGTCAGTCCGAGCTACATGATTCGGCCTTGCTTTGCCGCGAAACATTTGTCGACGTCTGGAGTTCAGGTAGCTCGCTGATACCAAGTCGGTGTTGGTGTTGATGTGTCTGCTGAGCTGCTGACATCGTATATCTGAGGTCGAAAGAATTCGGTCCGACTTGATCAGCAGATAGACCTTACTCAGTCATATAACAGTTCACTGCTTTGTTGTTTCCCTCACTAGAATAACGCCGAGAGAAGGTACGCGCACAGGTTTTCTTTCGTGTGGTAGTGGTAATGAAGATACATTCCACGCGTAATGTTAGACGACGATAACGTCCAACTGAGATGTTATATCCTTACAAATGGTCTGTGTTTCATGATGGAGGTAGCAACACCCTCGTCTTATGTAGTTAGAAATACAACGATGTGTTTCTCGTCTATCTGCCTTTGAGTGAGCTTTAAAATGAGTCGTGGCTGTTAGTTAGCAATATCTAGTCTTCACTCGCAAATAACGACACATCTGCTTAAGTGCCACGCACAAGATAAATCGTGCTGCCCTTTTCGCGCCCTGCTGTTGCAATAGCTGGTCACAGCTCTTCATTACCGTTTCCATCAATGTTTCTAGACAGACTCCTACTTGTTCGATTCTCGTGCGCAGGTGACTCGGTCAAAGTGTTGATCGGATTCGGCATGAGATTGGCGAAGTTGAGTCAATTACACGAAAACTTCTTGTCAAAACGTCGAGATGAACATCGACATGGACGTCTTTTGCCCCGGCGCCATGTTGGACGCCGACGCGTTTCCGAGCGACTCGGGCGATGGGTTATTTGACTCGAGGTTTTATCCTGGTACGTCGAATTCGACAATGTGTATAGAGTGGTATGTAATTTATTGTTGACATCTGTATATTACGTAGTAATATTTGTCCATGTACAAGTCGAGGCATTCACAGACTCACGTTGTCCATGTCGAGAAACACTATGGATCCACTTGTGCTGTTGATTGACGTGTTGTTGTTGTTGATTTGGTGCAATAGCGATGAGTGGTGACGATGTGCAGGAGGACATTGAGCAGATGCTGTTGTGTGGCTCGGACGAAGCGCTTTTGCACAGTCACGACCATGACACGATGCCAGGGCAGCGATGTCAGTGTCGGACCTTTGCGATCACAGCAAACCGCGTGCAAACGCCGTCGAAAAAAGTTGGTGTAGCCATTGCAGCGAGGGATCAGAGAAAAGTCTTGCGGCACACTTTTGGGTCAGGAAAGAGGTTGCAGGGCTTTGGCTTCGACGAAGCAGCTGGTATCGACCAGACGCCGCATCTGGAGGTCGAGTTGACGGACAAGCGACAGTCTGCGTCTGCTCAGGATGTCTTTGCTACTGTGGTAGAGAGAAGATGTACTGTGATGGCGGAGGGGCGCTTGGTTGTAGACAGGGAAACGATACAGGCGCTTCCAGAACGGCCCGAGGCGAAGGAACAGAACGTGGCTCTGACGCCAGCGCATGTGCGGCAAAAGTCGTGCTCGATGGAAGATGACCAGATATACAGTAGTCCGTTACAGCGAAGTCTGCCGGTCGGTGCAGTTCCAAGCCCATTGAGTTCGATCGACTTCGTGTCGTTGGAGGATGTGGTCGCGACGCCGTTGTCCAACACGTCACGGTCTACGGTCCATTCGAATGGTCCAGCGACAGCGCGTTCGTTGTCGCCTGCTGACGAGCTGGAGAAAATGACAGCAAGTGGCTCTAAACTGTCAATACCCAAGATGAACATGCTGAGGTGCAACTTCCAAGTGTCTCCGGGGCATGGCACGGTGCCGCTTGTCACGCCCACGGCGATGTTACCGCCGCCGTATTTCCGAGGTGCACTGGACTCGCCAGAAAAGCGACGTGCGCATTCGAAGACGATCGACTCATTTGCGCAGTCGTTGTCATTCTCGTTCGCAAAAGACGCTTCAACTGGCATGTGACTTGGCAGTGACGTGCAGCATAAGTTGCTGGTCACTGGAGAAATCAAGCAGCAAAGTGATGCGAGTCAGTTGCACACTGCTCGCCACTTATCACTGTAAACCATAGCTACGATGACATGAAAGAAGAGAAAGCGTACTAGCGAAAAGTGCTCACGAGTCTGATGCACTTGGATCGAATGGGCAAATTCATGGCAAGGAACGAAAGCATAATCCATTCAGCTGGATAGTAAGTGTCAAGCGTGTTCTCTGGTCATACCACGCCTTACTGTCACACTAGTGTGTAGCAATGTTTGAGTGCAACTTGGTGCTGTGACCGTGTTCCAGAAGTTGCTATGATACATCGACCACGTCAATTTTGCAGTATGTACAAGACTTGGACTTCACTTCGATAAGTGCAGATTAAAAACGTGTTGCAACGGTAGATGAACGAGCACGTACTCGACTTACACAAGCGCAAACGTCCGTGTTAAGTTGTGGGATGTCAGCTTGTCGACAATGTCGCAATCGATGGCTACAGCACAAGACTCGTACGTGGGGTCAGGACAGCGAGGCCGAACACTGACAAGACTGAATGATAAGTCGTATGCCAGATGCTTCTCTTATCTTCCCTTACCGTCCCGAGTAAGGCTCTGGCATGGAATGGACTGTCGGCACAGAGGATGGAATCCACAAGGTATCTGATCTTACTGACTAGTGACGTTTGGCATCGAAACTCTTCGCTGGTGTTGATCTCCACTTTGTCAATTGACTATGAGAGCAAACTCACGATCGTTTCATGATTACCGCATGTGTCCGCTGGACTTTCTTCTGCTTGACTTCCAGTGACCAACCAGTTCACGCTCGTAGGTAGGTTGTCAGACATGAGGATGCAAGAGCTGACGCACCATCGAATGACGGTGGCCATGACTTCAATGAGACTGGAGTGAACTATCCTGAAAAACGCGTCAGGTGTAGTCAATTACTTACACAACGATAGCACTGGGCTCCAGGATCGAATGTCATGATACCAGTCAGTAGGTGTGCGGAGCAGATGTCTGTTTCGATCGCGAGCACTCGTTAGCGCTTGCTATTATGCAGGATAATACATTCGACGGACTTGCAAGTATGTCTTGCAACGCACTTTTACGCTTCGAATGATTCGACATCAGCTCAATGATGCAGCCACATGATGCAGTGTGTACGTCACATGCCGAAGTTCGTTTTCGCTGCCCCGCATCACTTTCGACGATGAATGTGACGCGACGTCCATACCCGTCAGTGAGTTGCCCTTCGTGACAATCCTTCACCTGTGCACCAGCAAAAGCGTGCATCTGTGAGCATTGGGGCGCCACATGGCGTTCCGTCAGTGGATCGAGACAAAATACGTAAAACGCCTTCGCTACAGCGTTTACGTGGGTTAATCTCAATGCACAATGTGTTTGAAAGAAATTAGTTGTTATTAGTGTAATCGCCCCGTGTGTTTCGAAGCTGCCTGCAATTGCGCTGCTCTCCATCTTCCTGCTTCAGCCCTGTCTCGAGACGCACTACTACTCGTTCGCTTCTTGATCGTGCGTGGATGACTCAGTCAAAGTGTTGATCGGATTCGACGTGAGAGTGGCGAAGTTGTGGCGGTTGCGCGAAAACGTCTTGCCTTCTTCGGGCTCGTAGCGCTCCCATGCCGGCGTCTCGCGGCGGTCAGGGTCCAGATTGACGTCGGGGTCGGATGTCAGGTGGCGAACACCGCTGAAGATGGCGACCCCGACGCCGAGGCCCACACAGAGCACCAAAGGGTATATCTCTGCGTCCCGCGAAGACACCCAGATAAAGCTGCGTTTGTCGGTCGGACCCGTTGGCATCGGCACTGGCACCTTCGGCTGGCCCACGGCTGAGAGATTGCCGCGAATTTTCTGCATCCGAGCGAAAGTGGCCTTCATCGTTTTGTAGTGATCTTTAGTCAGCAAGTTCTGGAATGCCATGAACATGCGTGCACGGAGCTTCACGCCCTGCATCATCGCATTGTTCGTCTGCCATCGCCAAAACCGCTACTATTATTGCTCCGAGTATTTATAGCAACGCGGTTTAGTGGGTGATCGATGGTCGGACACAATAGATCTAAGTATTATTAGAGCCACCCAACTAGAAAAGAAGTGTCTAGTGGACGCACCCAAGATGTAGAAAGAAATGAGGTGCACAAGTGACGTGAGAACCGGAAAAGGCGATGGGTGATTATGTTGTGATGGATGTTCTGAATGCTGGAGGTTGTCTACGTTACACCGTACGAACAAAAGGGTATCGTCGATGGCAATAGCCTACAACAATGAAAGGATAGACGATGAGGTACATGAGATGCTATGCAAGATCTCTAATGGCCGTGATGTCGACACTACTATCTGCGCTACGCTTACGAAAATATGCATCGATACTGGGTATCACTAGCAGACAATGATCATTCGTGAATGTTGCGTCGCCCGGACAGTAAGTGCTGAGCACTACGTGCTGAGCACTCGTTTCGCCAACCATGTCACAAGAGGATGCGACCATCTGTTGTACCGCCAGGCTCGTGGCGATCCACTGCTGAACGTCGTTGTCGAGATATTGCTTTATTTCGTCGAGGATATCTCGTTTGTCGACTGCCGCTGTCTATGTCGATCTCTTTGTATCATTGCGCTGTTGGCTGCCATTCGATCAGCCATCTTGTTATGTTTCCTGTCATGATGCGTCCAGCTCCGGGCTCCCGGACCGTCTGCTCAATGTCGAGCATTGTAGTAGAACTGTCTAACATAGTCCCGTTTTGGCGGCATGTGATACAGCTGTTATCGAATAACCATCGCACTGTCTCCGATCACGCGCAGAGGAGTACATCCAGCGGCCGCCACACGACGCGGTCCATGCACGAATCCCCAGTATTCGGTATCGTTATTCGTCGTTGTAATAATAGCGTATGACATGCTTGACGCCGAGCAGATCTCGACTGCATGCGTTCTTGTGTCCAGCCATACTGTCACAGATCCGGCACCATTGAGGCCTGGGTTTCCTCTCGCTCGATCCGCCTTCGAAGAAAAGCATGTCGACACTTGCCACAGGCAACGAGTGAACACACAATCCGATCTCCTCAACCCGCACGCCTGCCAATATTTTTTACATCGCCAAAAGCACACGTATCCGCAATGTAGCGCTGTTCTCGAAAGCTCGCATCGAATACCTGAGTTGCGCGATTCCTCATACGGCAGTAGCATTAGTGACCTGGCCTGCACGTAGTGATGCCCGGCTTGCGCTTACCTGATCCCGAAGCCGTAGACGGGCGCACCAGATGGCGTGTATATTTGCCATAACCGTGAGCCGCCACAGCAAGTTTGCTGCCACGAAAGCTGATGTCAAAGACCATTCTCATAGCCTAGCTCACCTAGAATATCGTGAACCGCTTCCCAAGCGGTGTTAGGCGTATCATGCATCCTCAGGCTGAAACATGCCCGCTGGTTGTCATCGTTTAAGGTGTTGTCACGCGCTCTCCACCTGGTCCAAAAATCAGACCTTGCGCCCGAAGCCACCGGATACTCCCATAAGACGGGCAAAAAAGACTAATGCTGCTTGGTCGCCCGTATCGTGCGGACAGGACCTATTACGACTGGCGCAATTCCAGAGATCAAGGATGGTGACTTTGAACATCGTCTGAGCTGCGTACGCCGACGTACCGTGCACACGCTGGATGCTCCGCTAGTCGGGTTAAGCCATCGCAGCGTGAGTAGGGTCTAATTCGTCCATCATAGCTTATATCGCAGAGTCCCTGGCAGCTTCACCTTTGGATCGTGTATCAGACGTACGGTCGCACCGTAATTTCGCGGCGCGCTTTCCATCGACCTCCGTCTCCGTAGATTTGGACGTACCTCGATAGAGCTGGGTGTGCAGGGGTTTAACACTCCAACCAGGAACTTCAGTCGCGGCAGTACAGTCGCAGTGTACGATGGACTTCACCACACGCGGCTTGCGCTCAAGCATAGCGTCAGCGTACACGATTTCTCGCCCTCCCGTCCATCTCCATGTATGGCTGAAGTGCCCTCTGGTGCCAACCGCCCAGAGAAAGGCTGTACCAGTTAGCTTGTACATCAATTGAGGAAATCTAAACAGCAGTGTCTAATAGAGCGTCGTAACGCAACGTCGAAGATGGGTGGCTGGATCTGCTTAATCACACAGCGAACTGACGATCTTACCGTGAGCTTCCACTCTCCACCCAGGAGCACACCGAGTTTGCACTTTTTGTCCACTAGGCGCGTAAGCAAACCAGCGACAGGAGGCTGCCCGATTGCGCTTCGCAGCCACGCTCAGCATTCATCGAGCGAATCAGACTTAAATCATTTATCACATAGCGTTTCTCATAGAGCCGTCCACTTGCGCTTCATATTCGCGATGTCCGTCAATGTAGCCGCACTCGCTTCGAACCGAAGATCACCATTCTCTTACCTCGCGTCCCGCCAATGTCGACCAAAGTGCCGCCTTTGCATGCTGTAGGATTACCACTTCGACTGCAAAAAGTAGATCATGGTGCAAATGTCGGACCAAGTCCGCGCCTGCCGTCCACATCGTCTTCGCCACTTGTCGTGCGTGCCCTGACCGCCACCATGACCTGGCTTGAGGTACGTATCGAGTTTACGTCGGTCCTCAGTGGGGACATCTGTAGAAAATAGCTCGAGTAGATGAGGGTGAAATTGATTCTGTATTATGTTTTACCTACCTACGCTTGCCACGTTTCCGTTTCTGCTCTCCTGTCCACATGTCAAACGAACTACCTTTTTGGCCTAGCTCTGCCTTGAACTTTGCCTGATTACTCAAGCCAAGATCCGACAGCCGCTCTTGCCGCGCATTTTATCGTCCGTGAAAACCCCCTCTTCTCACCATCTTTTCCAACGTTATCCCCCACCAACAAATCGACCGACACCTTCAGATCCGGTGGCCATGAACTAACAGCAGCCGATGCCATCAGTTCGAGGATATAATTTACCTTGTGTCGGGGACTCCGCCATTTTTCCAAAGGTCGGCCTGACATTCTCCCATCTTTTCTCGACATAGCATGCCTTCGCGACTGCCTCACACAAGTTGTTTGACGAGTCGATGCAAGATACTGATGATGATAAGAGACGGCCAGCTGTGGATCGCCAAACATCGAATCTTTGATGCAATGATAGCTTCTGCAGGAAGAGCACGCAAACGGGCAAGCGCTAGTCGTAAGTCGATCGCTCGCGCACATGTGGCCCGGTTTGCCTCTACCCTTTTTACGAACTCGACCAGCACCCTGAGGTAACGGCATGATCATCATCGCGTGGTGACATCATGCCCGCCACGCAAATTGGGTCTGACCAGAAGCACCTGCCGAATTGGACCAGATATCGACATCATCACGTACACTCCAAGGCCAACAATATCCTAGAATTGCTCAAGAATACGCTGAATCGTCTCCAGGTAGCTAGATAAATCGATATATACTGCCATGTTATATACGCATACCTTACGTGCCATAGCATTTTTGGATAATTGGCAAGTACAAGCCCTGTCAACGCGTCAAACTATGGTCTGGTATCGAAAGCTAGGTGGGAATAAACAACGGATTAGCGAGAGGGCAGCTTTGGTGCCACACGTAACGGGAAGCTACCCTGAGAGATGCCTGTTATCACTAAAGCGACACCGTGTGCCCTCGTGGAAGGTGTTGACAATCCAAACAACATCGTCTCTGAGAATACTTGGTACCACAGGGGAGTCAAAAGAATGTGGCGCGCGAGCTATTTATTGTTTTGGTAAAGTGTAGCAACAGTTCCATTCCATGTTCGTATCGTGGGTCATCACGTGCCTCAATATTTGCGGCCAAAATAGGTCAATAGTGTGTTTTATCTACCGACCAAGAACGAATCCAGCTTGTAGCAGACGTACTATCCGGGCAAGCGAAGTTTTAATCGGTTCGCAAGACCGCGCGTGAAGATCGTGTATTCCGTGTCTAGGGTGCAATCGGGCGGTGGTCGAGTGATCCAGCTGCACCACTTGTATTGTTTTACGCAAGATATGTGGGCGTCTGGAATTGTCGTATGCAACATGCCTCCTTCAAACCAGAAGCCGCAGAGATCTCTCAACAGCGGGACAAGGGTATCGAATTGGTTCATTTACCAGTCATTTTAAATCTCGTCGGGACCACATGCATTGCCACGGTTGCACTTAAAGTATTTGCGCACTTCGTTCTGCGACACTGGACCACATTGCCCCTCGATCTCAAATTGTGTCAATGGGCTAGGAAAATGACTAAAAAACTTGTAAATGCGAATGACTTGTAGCCGGTTACTGTATGACATTTGGCAAACCTTCCATCATGTCAATTCTAGGTTCACGCGATTGTGTCTTGCCAGGTTTAAACAAGCCCTTAAGCAACTGTACAGAGTTATCGAATAATTTGTCGTATACAGGTCGAACGAAAGCGCGTGTAGACCTTCCAGGGTGATGTGTGCGTGCAACCGACGCAGAAATCGACGCTTTGCGGCCTATCATGTTGATCTTTGATTGGGTATCTCGAACGTAATGGATATTGCCGTTTCTTCATTCAATGCATCATTAGTGTATTCCAGACAGGTGACGGTGATTTCAAGCGTTCATTTGATCCTCGCAAGCCGGACGACCAGCCGGTATAGAAGCTGTATGTACCGTCTACATCTCCTTTCTTTCTGCGCGAACTATGCTTCGACAAGGCAAAAGTTTACGCACACAGACCTTGACCGCCATCCACCAGTCGGCCGCTTGCGTGCGCTTGTTGCGAGACAGTCGTGCAAAAATATAGGTTGCTCTCTAGCTCAGATTGTGTACCCCAAAAATCGTCAGTAGCAACAGTGTAACGGGGCAGCCCGTTACATGGAAATTGTCATTTAGAAGATAATGACAATAAAGAATATTATGTTGAATA